TTTTTAACGTGGCCAATTAAACAGTCTTAAGAAGGAGGAGCAGAGGGAGAGAGAGAAGCAGACTCCCCGCTGAGTGGGGAGCCCGATGCAGGGCTCCATCCCAGGACCCTGGGATCATGACCTGAGCCAATGGCAAACACTTAACCAACTGAGCCACCCAGGCATCTGCGTTAGCTGTTTTTATAAAACGGAAACAGAACCAAACTGGCTAGCTTGGGGCTGGAAGAACCAGTAATTGGATCAGTATTGTCAGTAATGATGTTTGTTAGGCACTCGCTGTGTTAGCTCACTCTTGCCTCAGGGCCTTTGCATCTTATTCCCCTTCCCTGGGGTTTGCTTCCTTCCAGAGCTTTGGATGGCCAGCACCTTCTTATCCCAGCTCAGATGTCACCGCTCAGAGAGGCCTGTCCTGGTCACCCTTGCTTAGACCAAGCCCCTGACCCATTTCCCTCTCTCACACCATGGCACCCTGTTTCCTTCTTTGCCATCATCTGTAACTTTTTGTTTGTGTGTCTTACTGATGCATTCTGTCTGCCATCTGTGGAAGTCAGCTCTGGGAGGGTGGGGGCCCCCTGTCTTGTTCATAGCTGTTCCAGTACCGGGAACAGAGCAGGTGCCCAGTGCTTATCTGTTCCGTGAGTAAGTGAAAGAAGCTGTGTAGGCAAAGTGCCGTGCATTTAATGCTCATGCTCCCCTCTGTGGGACGTCCCTTCATCATCCCACCTCACAGATATGGCAACCAGGGCCCAGAGAGGCTGAATCGTTGCCTCAGGTCAACGGCGACTGAGTTTACACCCAGGTCTGCCAGAGTTCTTGCTTCTTTTTTTTTTTTTTATTCTTATGTTAATCCCCATACATTACATCATTAGTTCTAGATGAAGTGTTCCATGATTCATTGTTCGTGCACAACACCCAGTGCTCCATGCAGAACGTGCCCTGCTCAACACCCCAGAGTTCTTGCTTCTGTCCACCTCTCTGCCTCGTGGCCTTGATGTCATCAGAAGCTTCTTGAGCCAGCTCTGTGGATGGCCACAGAACTCTGGCAGGTCCGTTATCTCTGCCACGGGTTCTGAAAGCCTTTTCAGACCCACCTGCTGGCCACCTTGACGCTGGCTTTCTTCTTATCTAGGTCTGTCGTGTCAAGTCTGGACTCCCCTGCCAAGACTAGCTCCATGGAAAAGAAACTTCTCATCAAAAGCAAAGAGCTGCAAGACTCCCAGGACAAGTGTCACAAGGTATTTATTTCCGCAGCTGGCCTCCCTCCTTGCTCCAGGATCCTCCCGTCAGTCTATGCCAAGGGATCCGCCCGGGGCCGCTGCTGGCGCTGAGCCACCTGATCCATACTGAGCGGGCGAGGCGCTCCCTCCCTCGCTGAAGTCTCGCCTCCAGCAGCTCAGAGGGAGATGAATTCAGGCCTTGACGTTGCTGTTAATCCTTTAAATCTTAACCAGAGGAGGCCCTGGATTTAAAAACGGCCCGTTCCTCAGCATGACCCAGCCAGATGTCTGCTTCTTCCGGCAGGTGGCGTGGGTCCTCACCTGTGGCCGAGTTGCATCCCATCTGCTTTGAGTGATGCGAAGTCTCTCTTCCTAGTCCTTTAAGCCTCCTGCTTATGTAACTGCGGCCACTGTGTTGACTATGCTCAACGTCTCTTAACGCTCACTGTTCCTGCCCAGGGGCAGCTCTCTGGAAGCTCCTAAGACCCACTCCTTGCCTGGGACTCCTCTAAGAGTGCAGACGAATACATATCTCCTTGCCCTGTCCTGGATTGGTCCTCTAGATCTTTGCAAGGAGATGGGGGGGATCAAGATGGATTTGGGATAAAATTAAAGTGACGTGTGCCAAAAACCAAACTAAACCCAAAAAGCGTACAGGTGAAAAATGGTGATTGTGGCTTCCTTGCTCACGGGGCTAGAGAAGTGACCAAGTGTGAACCGAGTCTTGGATGAGAGGAGTGACTTAGCATTGGTGACTGTCCTTACGAAGAACTGTGCACTCCCGGGCGAAGAAGCAATGGTATTTCCTTCCCAACCTTTGGCGAATTAGTGCCAGCCCAGGTGGTTTCGGAGGCTGCTTGAGATTTGATTGCTCCGAACGAACCTCCACGGGCCCTTTTAACCTGTCGATGTGTCTGTTTCAGATGGAGCAGGAAATGACCCGGTTACATCGGAGAGTGTCAGAGGTGGAGGCTGTGCTTAGTCAGAAGGAGGTGGAGCTGAAGGCCTCTGAGACTCAGAGATCCCTCCTGGAGCAGGACCTTGCTACCTACATCACAGAATGCAGTGTGAGCCTTCCCCAAAGTCCCCTTCCCTCGGAGGCGGCACTTCCTGTTGTGTGTGTCTCATCCTGTTTCATGACAGCTTCATGAGGCACATCACAGCCAATGGCAGAGCGTAGAGAGAGAGACAGAGAGAGAGAGAGAGAGAGAGGGAGGGAGTGTTCCAAGGCAAGCTGTGTGATTGGCAGGGTAGCCTGAGCCAGGCGGGAGGTCCCAGAACTGTGAGGACTGGGCTCCAGGAGTCCCGGTAGGCTGTGGAGCCTGGACACGGGCCTTGTCGTTGCTGCGGCGAGCAGCCAAGGCTCCAAGCGCCTCCCCTCCCAGCCTCTCTGGTCTATACCCCTTCCACCACCAGCAGCCTCGAGAGCCCAACTCCTAAATGAGCACAGGAACATGTATTTTGAATCTGCCTGAGATCTGTTTTCCATTGCTTAGAACCAGTGCAGCAACGAGAAAACTCAGCCTGTAAAAACAAAACAAAACAAAACAAAACAAAAAACCGAGGCCCTCTGTCATTATTTACCATGTGACTTTTTTTTTTTTTTTCCTTCACAAGAGTAGACTGTCTTCTCCATTGTCTCGTTAAATTTTTCATTCAGGTGTTTTTTTTAACGTGGCCAATTAAACAGTCTTAAGAAGTTGAATCACACATTTTTCAAGTTTTTTTTCACAAGGGAGAGGAAATCTATAGAACGTGGCTGATTAAGAATAACTGCTATGTTTCCATTCCAGATTTGGCTGCCTTTCAGTGGTGGGTGAAGTTATTCAGATATGTATCTCAGTGCCACTGAAGCATTGAGGGAACCTTATGGATGAAAGGTGTCCAGGAAACGTACGCCAGGAGGTGGAATTAGACCCCTTGGGGTCTTAAGTGGCAATTAGGCAAGAAGGAAGTCATTGCTACTTTGAAAGAGGGATCTATCCTGGAGAGCCCTCTAATATCCGATATTCCAGAACAGACTTCCTAGCCATCCCAATGGTGGGTTAACGAAAGGCTAAGGGATCTTGTTGGTTTTCAGTCCCAAACACACAAGTAAGTATCTGACAGGACAGGTAGACAGCGGTAAGAGGCAGGTTATGATGCCAGTTTGCAGTTTCAGGCCGGACCCATGAGGACACAAGGTTGAGATGATGTTTCTTGAACCGAGGGGTTTTACAGGAAAAACCGGAGCCAGCAACCAACTGGAAGTTGTCAACTTTGCTCCATCACCCGAAACCATCGTGGTGTCTGCGAAGCAGCTTGCAAGCTCCCTTTAATGAATCTTTCCAAACAGAGCAGGAACCACAGGGCATCCCTATTAAAATTTTTGCTTTCCTCAGAGCTTAAAGCGAAGTTTGGAGCAAGCACGGATGGAGGTGTCCCAGGAGGATGACAAAGCACTGCAGCTTCTCCATGATATCAGAGAGCAGAGCCGGAAGCTCCAGGAAATCAAAGAGCAGGTATGACTGCTGCTCAGGTCTGGTACCTAGACCTCTAATTTCAGGGGAGGTGTGTTTCAGGAGGGGCAAAGAGAGGGAAGGGGGCTGGGGGGAGAGAGAGAGGTATGTAGGTCATTTGGAAACTGTATATTCTCCATGATTTATATAAATGGTGGAGCGCTTGTTCTAGCTCCTTTTGAAGTCTGCAGCCCAGCATGGCTACTCTTTTCAATGAAAGGTGTAGGTTTAGAACAAAAGTGGCCAAACTGTGGCCCATGGGGCGAATCTGGCTCACCACCTGTTTTCCATGGCCACGAGCTAAGAATGGCTTTTGCATTTTTAACTGGTTGGGGAAAAAAAAAAATGAAGAATATTTCATGACATGTGAAAATTATATGGAATTCAAATTCCAGCATCCATAAATAAAGTTTTATTGGAACACAGCCATGCCCATTCATTTATGTAGTGTCCGTGGCTGCTTGTCATGTTACAGTGGCAGGGGTGGGTAGTTGTGACAAAGACCATATGGCCTACAAAGCAGAAATTACTTGATGTCTAACTTTTTACAGAAAAAGTTTGCCGATCTCTGCTTTAGACCATCAAAAAAATTAATATTTTTATAGCTTGAGAGAAGCCAGGATTATTTCTTTTCTTTCTTTCTTTTTTTTTTTTTAAGATTGTATTTATTTATCTGAGAGAGAGAGAGAGAGAGCACGAATGAGGAGAGGAACAGAGGGAGAGGGAGAAGCAGACTCCCTGAGGAGCAGGGAGCCCGACGTGGGGCTGGGTCCCAGGACCCAGGACCCATGACCTGAGCCGAAGGCAGAGGCTTAACCAACTGAGCCACCCAGGCACCCCAAAGCCAGGATATTTCATAGTTTTACTTGTATAAAGATAGAGAAGAAGAGCTTGAGCAGCGAAGGCCGTGTCAGAATTAACCCGGGAAATCTGAGCGCAGAAGGCCATCCCCTGAGTGTTCAGAAAAGAGAATCAAGATGTTTAAAAAGCCTACTTACTCTCTTTCTTTTTTTTCCTTTCTAAAAGGGTTTTCTTTCTAGATGGTTCATTTTTATTTTGCTTCATTGTTTCCTTTTTAGCATGGATTTTTCGGTCCTTTCAAGAAACTGTAAATAGAAACTTTAATGAAGAGATGGCAATGAGCGATTGGGAGAGCTGAATTATCAGCTGCCAGGCAACTCATTCATTTTAGAAAATCTAATGGAAACAGTGATGGGAATGAACATTTTTGTCTCTGGATAGCACAGACTTAGCCATCTGGGTGGTAAAGCGACAGACTCCTGCAAATCATTGATCCATTAGCTTTTCTTTAAAGAAAAAAATGTTTCGGGGTTTTTGTTGGCACAATCTGTGTATCGCCTTACTATTTTAAAGTGATTAGTTAATATCCTTGCTTGATCAAGATGTTATAAATAAACCTGCAAAGGTAATGTTGGCAATCTGTTCTGAAAACCGATACTAATCTTAGAGATTTTGAAGGTAGAGTTTGAAAAATTGCTCTGACAGTTGACTCATTGTGCCTTTTATCAACATAAAAGTGTCAAGGGACAGGATTCTTTTTCTCCCATTAGTTCAATGTGTTTTGGAGATTTGCTTTTGCTGACATCCTGGGGGAAATGAAAGCCGCATTTGGCCACCAGAGGGAGCAGCTGGTGGCCATGCCTTCCATAGAAACTGAATTAACAGGACATTTTGAAAAGGTGCATGCTGATGGTTGAGTTCAGAGAGATGTCTTTGATGATTCATACAACAGTTGGCATACATGGGGAGTTTTAGATTTAATGACTGCTAGAAGTTTCACTGGGGGGCAGAAAACTTCTCAGCTTCAGATTTTCTTTCTCATCGGAAGATGGATTTATTAAATTGGCGTTTAGTGAATTTTGGGAGACCAGGATGTCTGCAGTCCAGGAAAAAGCATTTCCCGCTTCTCAGCGGACTCCTAGTGTTTGGTTTGCAGCTTGTCGATTCCTCCCAGGTTTGGCATTTATTCCCCCCACTTTTTCTCTCAAAAGCTAATTTCTGTACAGCTATTCATGTTTAAATTTTCTAAACATTTTGCTTCTGCTTAGCCACCCCCTATAGAGTGTTTGCATTTGGTTTACAATAAAAACACCTAAGAGTCTCACATGATAGCTCGATTCATGTACCATTACTAGAGATTGCTGATGCCCCTCGCCCCTTCCTCAGGAAGGGGAACAGAAGTTTGAGTAACACAGAAGGCATTGGTGTTTTGGGATTTCTGATTGAATAGGTGTATGTCTGCTAGTTTCTTTCCACAAAACTCTGAGGCTCCATTCAGAAGACTTTAGGGCAGACCTCGAAAGTTGTCCGTGGTTCCCTCTCTTGAGCTCACTCAACACTGACTGACAGTCCATCCCATGCCAAGATACAATCGCTGTCTCTCCACTCTCCTTGGAAACAGACCTGATTGTCTTCTCTCAGATTTTTCCTGAAGCAGGGATTTGGTTAGCTGTTGGATTTGTAGGATTTCCTTGAAGGAGGCAACATGATAATAGCAGCTCAACAGATGAGGTAGAAATCCTTTTGATGCTTGTAGCAAGCTGGGTACCCCAAGAGCTCAGATTGCTGATAGAGATGTTGCCTGATTCTTGCCTTCCTCCCCCTGAGCACCGGCAGCTCAGGAAAGAGAAATGTTGAAGGGAAAGAACAACGCTCTGTCCTTGCTCTTGACAAAACACAAAAATTACTTACGCTTCTTGCCGGCAGAAGTTCCGGACAGAAAAAGGAGCTTGAGGATAAAAGATGCCCAAGATTTTCTCTCAGTTCTTTGCTTCCTCTAGAGCTTGGTGTTTGTGCCTGTGAGCAGGGCCAGCAGTACTTTTAGGGACCCATAAAATGTTTACTTTTTTTTTTTAATCAGAGGAAAAAAATTGAGCTTTTAGGTCAAAGAAACTGTTTTCGTAGATAATACTAATGTTTTTGTCTCTATATGAATGCCATTGGAAAATATATATATTTTTAAAGATTTTATTTATTTGAGAGAGAGAGCACGAGCATGAGCAGGGGGGAGGGGCAGAGGGAGAAGCAGACTCCCCACTGAGCAGGGAACCGATCCCAGGACCCTGAGATCATGACCCTGAGATCATGACCTGAGCCAAAGGCAGACGCTTAACTGACTGAGACACCCAGAGACCCCATAAAATATAATTTTTCATGCATTTTTTTTTTTTTAAATGAAGGAGGGGGTCCAGGGAGGCACAGTGCCCAGAGCCGCCAAAGTCATAATGCAACCCTGGCCAAGGGGGCTAGAAAGTAAAGGATGCAAGGATGTATCATTTCACATAATCTGGCTCATGTTCCGCTCTCTCAGTTCAGATAATTATGAGTGGGTTGTGAGGACCTTTGGTTCTGTAACCCAGCTTCAGCCACTTTGTGTGCACCCCCCAGACAGCCTGGTGCCCCATGACTTCTGGGACTGACCTTCAATAATAGTATGCTTAGGGGTGGGAGAAGTAAAATGAGACTGTGCTCCACTCTGGGCTCATTATTTTCCTTTCCCAATTATATAGAGAGGTGTGCTTGCATGAAAACTATCCAGTTTTCTTAAGAACATCACCTCTGCTTTAGCGTGCATCTAGGGGAATTGCCTGCTACGATGGGATGAAAGGTTTGCTTTATACCCTGTTATTTGAAAAAATCAATTATTGTTTTTACTGGTTAAAACCATGTCCTTGCTTAATTGATACCTCTTCAATGATTTTCTGGGAGAACAGATCTTAGAGATGTTCACTGTATATTGTGAATATCAAAGATGGTCTTGATTCAATTCCTTGTTCTTTTCACTTTATATCCTCCTCCCACCCTAAGCCACCTTGGATACACGCTCATTCATAATCCCTATATGCATAAGCTTTGATATTGCTGACAGAATATTTTCATACTTTGCCCCCAAGTTTTCAAAATCATTGCCCATTTCTTCTGGTAAATCCAATTTTGAAAAACTGATTCAAATGTTCTGTTTTGATTTTAGAAATTCATTTTGGAAAAGGTCAGGCTGTTTGGATCACTTTAAAGGTTTGCTTGAAGGAACAAGATAATTCTTTCTCCGGAGTTTTGCTCACAAGTTATTTTGACCAGAGCCAGTGTTTCTGACTCTTCCAAATTTCAGGGTGACTTGCATTTCAAGAGCAATGTTAAGTTCATCATTCAGTTTTGGGCCCAGAGAAATTAATGGTGAGAAACCGACATGATGAGTTTCACCTTCCAAGATTCTTTCTACCGAGATTTCCAATTACCCCTTGTGCCGTCTGAAAGGTTAATTTTAAAACAAGTACCATATCTAATTGTGTTAGGAGCACATGACTTCTAAAGGACAAATCTATATAAATGATTACCCTTGGAAGAAAGCTACATGTAAGCAGTTTATCCTGGTTGTTTAAAGAACATCCCTTTCAGCTCTCCTGTGTTGCAAATGCCTTAAGGTTCTGTGCTACTTGTGTGGGATTATTTGCTCAAAGGATATGTTCCAAATGGTGTTACTAATGATACATGATCTACATTAAAACAGTTTAAAGATTTTTATTTATTTGAGAGAGAGAGCGAGAGAGCACGTGAGGGGAGGGGTAGAGGGTGAGGGAGAGAAAGGGAGAGAATCCCAAGCAGACTCCATGTTGAGTGTGGAGCCCGACTCGGGGCTTGATCTCACAGCCCTGAGATGATAACCTGAGCTGAAACCAAGAGTTGGACACTCAACCGACTGAAACAACCAGGTGCTCCTACCTACATTAAGATAGTTTAAAGACTTCATATTCTTATCTCCCTCCTCGCCCTCCCTACACCTCTCCCTTCTGCCCATTTTGATCCATCTTTTCTCTAGGACTGTTCCCTGCCAATCTGTCTTCAACGTGCGTCTTCCCTCCGTGGTCCATGGTCTTCTGTCTTCACTGCCTGTCTTTTCTTTTAGGGGTTCTAAAGTTCACTTTTCTTCCCTTGCCTGCCCTTTAGGAGTACCAGGCTCAAGTGGAAGAAATGAGGTTGATGATGAATCAGTTAGAAGAGGACCTTGTTTCGGCAAGGAGACGGAGTGATCTCTATGAATCGGAGTTGAGAGAGTCTCGGCTCGCTGCTGAAGAGTTCAAGCGGAAAGCGACAGAATGTCAGCATAAACTAATGAAGGTAGCCAGCCACCTGCCAGAAGGCTGTTTTTGGTGTAGACTCCTGGATGATCTTAGTAAGAATAAAGGGAATACTAGCTTCATGAGTGTATGTTTGCGGAATAATGGAATACTCTGCCAAACTCCTGGTCTTTTTTTATAGAATATAACCTAGTTATCGTCATCATCATCATCATCATCATCATCATCATCTGGCCGTAGAGACCAAGAAAGTACGGTAGTCTCTGTAAGACTTTTAGGTGCTTGAGATTTTCCAATATGTTTTATCTCTTAACTTATAGGCTAAGGATCAAGGGAAGCCTGAAGTGGGAGAATATTCCAAACTGGAGAAGGTATTTTCCATTGTTGGTATTGCTATTTTTGGTAGATAATCTGTAAAAAATTTTTTTTAAGATTTTATTTATTTGAGAGAGAGAGAGCTCACACATGTGGGGGTGGGGTGGGGTGGGGTAGAGGAGCAGAGGGAGAGGGACAGGCAGACTCACACTGAGTGTGGAGCCCAACGCAGGGCTCGATCTCATAACCCTGAGATCACGAGCCATAATCAAGAGCTGGACACTTAACTTATTGAGCCACCCAGGTGCCCTGATAATCTTTTAAATGTTACTCTCCATGGCTAGTCATTGGTTAAGAATACTCTTGCAATGGATAGAGAACTCTCTTCCAGGTTTATTTCGATGGTCAATCTCTGGGCAACCACATTTAGCTTTAGCTGTGGTTCTAAAAGGGATAAAAGACACCTCATTTTTTGTCATGCCTGATCACAGTAACATACAAACCAAGACACCTAGTAAAACATAGGTGAAAATTTCTGTAGTCTTAAGGCACTGGGCAACTATGATTCTCTTGCCATTTGTGTGTTGCTGGTTCTAGGGAAGTAGCATGGAGGTTTTCCTTGGGACATTCAAAGACTTCTCTGATAGGCCTCTGTTCTTCCTCTCCATTAGTAGGGGCTGGAAAACAGAACAAAAAGACCCCACAGAAACCTTCAGACAATAGCACTGCACTAAATGTAGCAAGACATTCATGCCAATTTATCTTTTGCTTTATTTCCTGGAATTTTAATTTTAGATCAATGCTGAGCAACAGCTCAAAATTCAGGAGCTCCAAGAGAAGCTGGAAAAGGTAAGCCCGAGGTGATTTTTTGGGAACTTGCCCCTCATTTCCAAATACTTTTCTTTGCCTTGTCCTGGAACCCAAAAGATGAAAGAGATGGAACTAGTCAGCCAGCACCGAGGAAAATGAAGGGCAAGTGAGCTATTACCTGAAATATCAGAGTTCTGAATATAGTTTTTCCTTTTGAGGCATGTCAGCAGTGTTTATTTTTAAAAACTCAAGCTGCGTGAGACTCTCAAGTAAAAGTTCTAATTATACTATGACAGGAACCCAAGAGGCCAAGAGGCCAGCTTCTCTCCCTTCAGGGGGCCAGGCTCCCCGTTTTGCACATTTGTAAGAGGAGCAAGGGTTGTTCAAGACCCAGACGGCTTTCAGTGAGAAACCGTGGGCAGCCTTCCTGCCCATTGGAAGACTGGGGGAGCTGGGGAGTCATCTCTGGGTGGGGGAGGGGGTGGATTTGGTTTATAGCATCCTGTGCAGTTGGTTTAATGACCCTCCCCTTGGCTGAACGCTGGAAATGCTAATGCATGGTCCAGAATGGATGTGGTTCTGAGACATGCCCATCACAGCAAAAATGTCCATGTGTTTCCTGGCCTGGTTTAATAGAGCCTCTTCTCATTTACTCTTTTTTTGTTGTTGTTTTTTTAAAGTTGCGGTGAAAAACACATAACATTAAATTTACCGTCTTGACCATTTTTTAAAAAAAGGTTTATTTATTTGAGAAAGAAAGAGTGTGTGCATCTGTGCTGTGCGTGCAAGTTGGGGGAGGGGCAGAGGGAGAGACTCTTTAAGCAGACTCCTGCTGAGTGTGGAGACTGACTCAGGGCTTGATCTCACAAGCCTTGAGATTATGATCTGCGCTGAAACCAAGAGTTGGCTGCTTAAGCGACTGAGCCACCCAGGCGCCCCTACCATCTTAACCATTTTAAGTATAGAGTTTGGTAGTGTTAAGTATGCTCACATCGCTGCGCAGTGGATCTCTAGAACTTTTTCATCTGGCAAAACTGAAACTCTTGACCTGCTAATTTTCCTTCCTTCCTCCCCCTAGCCCTTGGTAAACCACCTTTCTGTGTTCTGTTTCTGTGATTTGGACTACTTTAGAGACTTCAAATGAGTAGCATCATAGAATATTTGTTCTTTCATGACTGGCTTACTTCGTTTAGCATAATGTCCTTGAGGTTCATCCATGTTGTAGCGTGTGACAGGGTTTCCTTCTTTTTAAAGACTGCGTGATATTCCATTGTGTAGACAGACCACATTTTGTTCATCCGTCCCCGTCTCACTGATCCTGGAGATCACTAATGAAAGCCTCTACCGCCCTCTTTCAGCTAGACATTTGTCTGAGGATTCACGTTTCTATCTAGAACTGTGTTCTCTACGGAAGTATGATGCAAGTCACAAGTGTCAGCTTCTGGTGTAATTTTAAATCTTCTAGTAGCCACGTTAAACAGGCAAAAAGAAACAGGTGAAGTTATTTGAATGATACAGTTTATTTAATCTGATAGAGCCAAAATATCGTTGCAGCGTTGTGTCGATAGTAAAACATTCACACTGTTTCAGTTTTTAAATGAATCAAACGTGTTACATTAAAAATTAATTTTCCAGCCACACCAGCCACATTGCAAGTGCTCAAGGGCCACCTGTGGCCAGTGGCTCCCGTGTTGGACAGTGCTGATCTCAAAGATGAAGTTTTCTTGAAGTTTTGACTTTTTAAAAATTATAGTTCAAAGCAAATAAGTGTGAGATTGTTGGTTTCTTACCCTCAGATCTTTGCTATGATGCTATAAGAGCTTCAATATAGATAAGACCCAAGTGAAAATTAACTTCAAAAGGTTTAGCTGTTTTTTTTTTTTTTTCTTTTTAAGCACAGATTTGTGAATTACCAGGGAACTCTATGGTTGTTGTAGGCTTTGATAGGTTGAAGGAAAGCTGACAGTTTTTATCCTTTTTTAAATAAAAGTAGTACAGATTCCCCATAGGAAAATGAGCAAATGAGATAATTAAATAAGAAGAAACTGAGGGTAAACACATTCACACCTGGGTAGGTAAGTCCTGCTAGGCCTTTCTGTTTGCATTTACTATGTTGCATTGCATCTAAGATACTAATGATTATCAGATACACTGTATCTGTGCACCCCCAAGAAGGAAAAATTGCTGTCCATTTTAACTGTAAGATGCATTCCAAATTCAGTGATGTTAAAATATATACATAAGTGCACTTTAGTGGAGAGGAAATGCAGAATAAAGTGAATGTTAATGGGTTTTGAAAATGGATCTGGTACATATATACTTAGTATTGCCTGACTTTTCCCCGTTGAGGAGATCGTCACTATCTTTTCATGTGAATGACTTTGGCCATCTGTCTCCTGTACCTTCTCCCCGGGTAGGCTGTAAAAGCCAGCACAGAGGCCACCGAACTGCTGCAGAATATCCGCCAGGCGAAGGAGCGAGCCGAGCGCGAGCTGGAGAAGCTGCAGAACCGGGAGGACTCCTCTGAAGGCATAAAAAAGAAGCTGGTGGAGGCCGAGGTGAGCAGGGGTCCTCAGCCCGCGGTGGACTGAGACCGGGTCCCGGTGTGGCTGCCCATGAGCAGCCGACCAGCTTTGGGCCGTGCCAAGGAGAAGACACTGCAGAACCACTGTCCCTTCTGCCAGTCCCTTTGAAACCTGAGAGGCTTGGCAACGTTTCCCCAAAGGGGAAGAAAGACTGGTCACAGCAGCTTCAAGTAGAAAGATGTCCTGATAAGCGTGTTGCCTTTCTGTTCCTTTTCCTCTGGCCTCACGAACCTGGGAAGATTTACGTTACAGTAGATGAACTGTAATGCTCTCCCTCAGTTTCTCTTTTTCTTCTCTCCGCACCCCTGTTTTTCCTTGCCTCCTCCCCACAGAGTTAATAACGTTACCTTTCAAGGCTTCAGCTGTTACCTGTGTGTCGATGCCCCCCGCCCCCGCCACCCCGGGGCCTATATTTTGGGCCTCTTCTCTCCCTCGAATTCTTTGTTGTTGTTGTTGTTGCTGAAATATTTGATATAATTATACAGGAAACACATGAGTGTCTTCTCGTTGTAAAAAACTTGAACAGTACTGAAGAATGGAGAATCAAAAGTAAAACTTCCCCCTTACTCCCCTCCACCTCCCCCGCCGCCTTGGTGATTGTCCCAGAGAATAAACAGATCGGAGTTGATTTACACCTCCCCCCACCCCGCCCCAGGCTCTCTGCTTTCCCCTGCCCCGGTCCCGGCTGGTGCATCACATCTAGAATGAACTCCGTGTCTTCCCTCATGAGCAGGGCTCCCTTCTTAATCTCCTCATGCCAGTCAGGGCCACCATCACTCATCTGGTCACCCTAGGCTTGAAACCTTGACGTTGTCTGTTCTCCTCGCTCCCTGCCATTCAGTGAGCCGCTCAGTCCTAGAAATCCAGCCCCGCTGTCTCCCCCGTTCACTCCTGCTTGCCATTTCTGTGGGCCTCCTCAGGGTCCAGGCCTTCTTCCCCTTAGTTGAGCACATTTAGTCATTTCAGGGCCCTCCACTTTCCATCTTCCCTTCCTGCCCATTGGCTCATTCAATGTAAGACTCACGGGCCTCAACACAAGGCTCATCAGCACCCCCTGGCCCATCCCAGAGCTTTCAAAGCTTCCCTGTGTCTTACGTGCACCCCTGAACTTGGTACATGAAACTCTGAGCCATTCGACCCACTAGTGCTCCCTTTTACCTTCTCTCCTACTCTGTCCCCTAACGCATCTTATGCCCTAGCCGCTGGAGGCTTCACCTGGGGCCTCACTGGCTCCCTACCCCCTCCATATTTGTGCTAATGCATCTGCCTTCGTCTGAAGGGCCCTCCACCCTCCCTCCCGCTCTCCCCACTCCAGCCTGGGTATCCCAGAGCCCTCCAAAGCTCACATCTCTGTGACTTCTCCCCTGAGCTCGTTCAGTGAAAAGGCCTCTCTCCTGCCTGCAACCTCCCCCGTCTTAACCTATATTATGTTTCTTTGTGTTTGTCTTATCTTTTCCAAGGGCAGGAATTCTGTCGGCTTCCTCTCCATATTTTCTGTGATGCCTAGTGTGATACTTTGCAGATAGTAGGTGCTTGGTAAATATTTGAATGAATGAATGCACTCTTATAACCCAACACAACCAAGTACTTGGATTCTAGAATCTTCTTTTCCTCACCGTTGCTTCGGGTGCCTGAGACTTCTCTTCCTGCCTTGCGCGTATGCTTCTCGAGGGCGCTCTCCCTCGGTGCAGGCGCTATGCCCGTAGCAGTTACTCCATTAAAACTCTCTGATTGATTCATGATCTACAGGAACGCCGCCATTCTCTGGAGAACAAGGTAAAGAGGCTAGAGACCATGGAGCGTAGAGAAAACAGACTGAAGGATGACATCCAGACAAAATCCCAACAGATCCAGCAGATGGCTGATAAAATTCTGGTGAGCAGGAACAAAGGCTGAAAAGTTAAAAGACAACAGGTTAGAGGTCGCAGAGGGAAGGGGGTGAAAAGAGGAACGGAACGCCGTCACCCAGGGGAGGTGTCACCGAGTAGGCGAATGGAGAGAAGTGGCTTCAGTGTCTGCCCCCATGCTAGGATAGCACGAATAACCAAATGTTGGACGTCTCGGCACTGGTAACAGATCCGTAAATATTATTTTTCCGCTCTGTTTGCTACCGCCTGACATTTTAAAACATGAACGTGCGTCCTCTGTCATTTCCGATACGTTTTTACAGGAGCATTGACGTACTTCTGTCAGCAGAGTTTTGTATGGCTGTTAACTTTGCAATGGCAATTTGCAAAAACAGTGGGGATTTAGACCCTTAAAACCAAAACCCAGATTTTTGCTTTTGGAGAAGAAAGAAATTAGTCATGCAGGGTTGTTTTTCGCAGAGTAGTATTTGTCATAGATCTCTGTTCACCCACTCACTCTCTCTGCTACAGTTGGTTATTAGTATTATTTTTCCCCCTTAATTTCCTTAGATGTAGCAGGTCTTTTTTTAGGTTTGTAAACCACCATGATTCTGTTTCCGGCTCTGGTGACCAAATTAACTTCATCACGGAAAGCCAGCTTGGGTGCTACTTACAGATGTGGTGAGGTTTTGTCCCAGGCAGGTGAACTTTTAAAGGACTGTCCTTGGATCTCAGTCCCAAAGCCAGGAATGTGTGCCACGTTTGGGAGTCTTAGCGTTGACATGGAATCTGTTCATAGCCCCCTCCACTCTGCCCCTAGGAGAGACCCTGGACTGTTCCTTTCCACCATAAGGAGGCGAGGCGGTGAGCAGGGCAGTGCGTCTCTCTCTGTGTCTCTCTGCATCACTTCTGGAAAGTGGGTCACCTGCAACTATATGAACTCAAGAATGGCCAATTTATAGGCCTGTCGTTAATACCAAAACCAAAAAAAAACCCCAAACCCTTCAAAATTTTACCTATGTTTGCATATATTCACGAAGATATGGATGCTCTTGAGCGAACAGGTGAAAGAGAAAATTGGTTGAACTGTTTTGCTTTAACACACAGTCTTCGTATATACGTCTGCACACCAAGGCAAATGTGACTGTTAGTCTACCCTTTCTGTTCTCTTGTTCCATCATCAAAGTTTCTCTTGGCGATTGTCAAGTGTGTGAATTTTATCGTGAGTAGAATTAGATCCTACCGAGATCCCACCACCACTGTCCCTTGCTTGGTGCAAACAAAGTGGTTAAGTCTCCTGTGGTTGCAAAGTGTTTCTCTGTTTAATGGTGATGTGTTCATTCATTCATTCAACAAATATTTAATGAGCTTCTACTATGTGCCAAGCACTGTTCTAGGAGCTGGAAATGTAGCAGCGAACACCAACGTTTGCATAACAGGACTGAAGAGTTTGATCCAATACATAGAGAAAAGATAACGTTTTACAAAAATGACAACAACAACAAAAAATGCCAAACCACCAAGAAGTCAGATTTAGAATATCTGCTTTTCCAAAGATTCACTTGCTATTAAAATGTAGGAGTAGAGAGTTCTACCTTCTTGGATTCTGTGTTGTAAACTCCCATTCACATATAGACCAGAAATCGGGTTTTCAAGTCGTCAGGTTCAGGGATCTGAGTTTTTGACCTGTTTTTAGACTCTGCTTTCCATTCCTGTGCTCTCTTAGGAGGACCGAAACTCAGACAAGATGATTATCAAGCGATTTCTTACATAAAGAAAAAGTAAACAGATTTCTTTGTTTGAGAGTATCTTGCCACCTGCCTGACTACCTTTGTGGTTGTGACTTTATTTATTGGAAAGTGCCTTTTGCTCAAGAAACCTGTGCTTAGACTGTGAAGTACCCAGGACGTGGGCAGAGGGGGTCCTTACTACTGCCATATAATGATGATGCTTGGAAACAGATCCCCAAATGTCATTTGCTTTAAAATATTTGCTATTCTGATAAGACCTTTTTAAAACAGGTAATTGAGGTTCTCATTATAGCAAAGTCTTTTGCATTAATGAAAGAAGTCATTGCAGGAGATCCTTTAGTGCACATAAAGCCCTTAAAGTATGTTTTTATTAATTAAAATCCTGTTTACATTCAACTTTTCAAGATCACATCTGTTAGACGGCAATAGATCTTGTGCACCTGGTCTTAAAATTGAACACTTTACTGGCCCCCAAAGCAAAGTCAATGCTTGTAGGCTTTAGAATTTCAAAAGCTTAATCAGTAACATTTTATGTGCATGTGAATCTGAAACTATTCCCCCCCCCATTTTAAGGACATATCCTGTATAATTTCCTCATTCTTCAAAATTCTCATAATTACTTCTACTTCAAGGAAAAATTTCATAACTGTGAAGAGATGAAAACTTGGGGTAATGACTTTTGATATTAGTAATTAACTAATGGATCCAGATTCATAAGAATTAATGTGGATGCAGAAATCTGCATTTAGAGAATGTTTCAGTGGATTGAATGCTGCCTTTTATAAGATCAGTTTATAATACACTGGCAAATGAATTGGTATAATTTTCAAATGAATAACAATTTTGTTTAAAAGCAGAAATCTTAGAACGAAGGGAATGTTAAGTCTGAACTATTTATATCACTCCAAATTCTCTTCCCATCTTTAATATATATGCATACATATTTGGGTCATTATTATCACTGTATTTTATGTTCTACTTTGTTCCCATTAGCATTGTAGCCTATAAACATGATATCATATGAACATCTCCAGATGTTCACATTCTCTACACACCAATCAGTTAAAACAAAAATCATTCAAACCTCAAAGTGTTTGAATTGTAACATTACCTTTCTTTCCATAGCTAGGGTGAGCAATCCTGTTGATAATCAGGAAAACACAAAATATTTTTTATCATAATAAAATAACTTGAAATTTAAAAGAAATTAAAATTACTTCTTTTCATTTAAGGCTGTTATGACAGTGAAAATGGCCTGGGGCTCAAGGCAGTGGGCAGGGGCTTTGTGCTGCACTAAATTTTTAAATGTTGCCTTGTGACTGTCCTTTCTCTGTGCACAGATGAAGAGCTGCCTTTGTTTGACCTGTCACACTGACAGTGTTCTGATCCCAGCCCACCAGCTGTGTGTGTATGTGTGTGAATACTTGGACCCGGAAACCCCAGGGCCAAGGATCGGTGGTGGTTTCCTTCCCAAGAGCCTTAGGGCTAGTCATGAAGGAACATGTGCCTGTTGCTTGTGGTGCCAATGCCAAAGTCATGTTTCCCGTGAATGTCTAACACACCTGAGCTATGTCTTTCCCTTTGCACACCTGACCGTCTGTTCCTTTGTGTCCAGGAGCTGGAGGAGAAGCACCGTGAGGCCCAGGTCTCAGCCCAGCACCTAGAGGTGCACCTGAAACAGAAAGAACAGCACTACGAGGAAAAAATTAAAGTAAACACACTTTCTGATCTTCCCCAGCATTCTTCCTCTGGCATGACCTAGCTTCTCTCTCTTCCTGGGCACTTTGGGCTCCTTCTTGCTAGACCCAAGGCCTGTTTGGGGTAAATGTTGTCCTCAGGCCATGGTGGGAGGTTTTGGGGTGTTAACCCATGTGGGGGATGTTAAAAAATATATATATTTTTAAATTATTAATCTCAGTTCTGTCTTTTTTTTTTTTTTGAAGATTTTATTTATTTATTTGAGAGAGAGAAGTAGAGAGAGAGAGAGAGAGCATGAGGGGGGGAGGGATAGAGGGAGAAGCAGACTCCCTGCTGAGCAGGGAGCCTGATGCGGGACTCGATCCTGGGACTCCAGGACTATGACCTGAGCCAAAGGCAGTCACTTAACCAACTGAGCCACCCAGGTGCCCCTCTCAGTTCTGTCTTTAATGTATTTTTTGCCCCACTGTCATTCAGTCCATGATGATTTAGATTTAGCCACAGACTCACCATTCTTTGCTTTAATTTCCTTCCTGCATCTCAGACCTGAACATTTTCCTTTTGTTTAAAGTATATCCCTGAGGACTTTCCTTAGCGAAGACCTGCTGGTGACAAGGTCCCGGTCCCATGTGTCTGAAAGTATCTTTATTTCACACTCATTCTTGAAAGGTGTTCTGCCTGGGGATAGAATTTGGGGTTGACAGTTATTTGTTATGACACCCTTTGAAGGTATCACTCCATTGTCTTTTGACTTTCATTATTGCTAATGAGAAGTCAGCTGTCGGTCTAACCGTTGCTTTCTTTGAAAATCATCGCTCTTTTTTGTTTTGCTGCTTTTAAAATTTTGCTTGGTCTTTAATTTTCTAAAGTTTTACTATGATGTATCTAAATGCAGATTGATTATTTATCTTGCTCAAGATATACAGGACTTTAAAATATATTGGTATCTGTTATCAATTCTGGAAAATTATTGGTCACTATATCTCAAATATTGTCCCTTTTCCTTTCTTCTTCCTTTTTGAGGCTTTGAGTAGGCATCATGTGTGATTTTTTTCATATTTTCCATTTCTTTATCTCTCGAAGCACATTGGGGGTAAGTTCTGACTGATTTTCCACTTTACTAATTCTTACCTGTCAAATCTACTGTTAAATCCATCCAGTGAGTTTTAAATTTCAGTTACTGTATTTCTGGTTTCTAGACATTTTATTTGGCTCCTTCCCAAGTTTAGTAGATTATTTAAGACAATAATTTTCTATTTCCTGCATTCATTTTTAAGCTTGTCTTTTATTTCTTTAAACACATTAGCATAGTTGTTTTATGTTCTTTATCTGATAATTCCAGTATCTGATGTATCTGAAGGTCTGTTTCTGCTCTGTTGTTTCTCTTTGTTCTTCACAGTGCCTGTCTTCTTCTTTTTTTTTAATAAGGTTTTATTTATTTACTTGACAGTGAGATAGAGAGCACAAGTAGGCAGAGCTGCAGGCAGAGGGAGAGGGAGAAGCAGGCTCTCCGCTGAGCAGGGACCCTAACGCAGGGCTCGATGCCAGGACCCTGGGATCATGACCTGAGCCGAAGGCAGAGGCATAACTGACTGAGCAACCCAGGCGCCCCTCACGGTGCCTGTCTTCTTGTGTGCTTGGTCAGCTGCTCATTTTCCTTAGAAAATTATTAATGGGAATTCTTTGAGGCATTGAATGGAAATGTGTACTCCCTTCGGGGGTGGCCCTGGGCTTAGACTTTTCTGTCTTCTTACCCTTTGAGGCTATTAAAAATGAAGTTCAAGTTTATTTGGTTCAGCAAATGCCTCAAGTTAAAAACAGCTTTGTGCTCATCTTAACTCTCTAGGTTTCTGCTGTCACTTAGAATTTTAGTTTCTAATTTCTTAGTCTCTTGCCAATTTTTGGGACAACGTTTTCTATATTTTATCTAGCATTTTAAATCATTTCCCATAGAAGAGTTGGCCTAAATAATCTAGCCCATTGTATAAAATATTAAATTCAATTATTATTTTGATTATTGAAATTATAATTTCAATTCAGTTATTAATAAATTGAGCAATCAGAAAAAATGCCAGCTTATTTATTTCCTTTTAAAATCACATCACATTTTCATTATGACTTTGTACCAAGCCTTTAACTCAGTTCTTGTGTTCCTGAGAATCAGATATTGGTCATTACATCTTAAATATTATCTTCCCCTTCCAAATCAGACAATATAGGAGGCTTTTAATTTTTGTGATGATCCTGTTAATAGATTTTGTTGGTATTTTCTGTTCCTTTTTTGGAAAACCAAACATGTATATGCCCACACAGCACAGCATCATCATCCTCACCACCCTGGTACCTTCGTTTTTCGTTTGTTTGTTTTGTTTGTTTTTTAACCCCTGGTGTTACTTTTGGTTATTCTTCATGAAGAAAAATACAGAAAAATAACTCAGAAGTGACTTCAAAGTATTGTAGTGTGACCCCCTACTCAATGTATTTTAAACTTTATATACAAATCCTTTTGATCTGATTTCTTACTGGCTTCCCAATTTTTATCTTTGGAATAAACCAACTTCCAGAACATTACGAGAATGTATGCAGTAGTCCACTGACACCTTTGCACGATGAAAATAGCCATTCATAAAATTAATTCTGTAATTTGGGTGAGTATATTGACTTTCCTGTCTGAAAGCTGTGTTCTGTCTTAAATTGATGTAAATGTCTATAATGGTTCTCTCATTTCAAGTTCCTTGCTTCCCTCCCATGCATCTCTTTTCTTGTTCGTCCTTCTGCCAGTTTAACCCTATCAAAGTTGAGGTGTGTGCGTTTTTGATAGAGACCTATTCCTCTCTACCTCTTACTGGGCTCCATCATGGCCCAAAGTTGAGGTTTTATTTTGAGCATGAGTCGCCCTGAAAATGTGTTTCATTGCCTTAGCACCCCATACAGAGGAGCATACCTGGTCCAGGTATGTGTGGTCTCCATAGCCTTCTAGATGGAAAGAACTTTGTTTTATAGATCCTAGGGAATGTTATGGAAAGACCTGTTTTCTTCTGTCTTCCCTACTGGAATCTTTATGAAACCATTTCTTTTTAGCCTGTCTTGCCTTGTGCTTCCTGTTCCAGCCTCTCTAAGGCCATTTTAGTAATAATCATGGTCATACCCTAGATTCTGTCCTTTTCTTGTTTGTAATTTTAGAATCAACCCCAACATCCTAGAGAATGGGCCACTTCTCCTGTTGAGCTTCTCCCCTCCTCCCTTGACCTGTCCTCCACCTTTTGTTCTTCTCCACAGACTCCCAATCTATTTTTTTCATCAGTCAGTTCTAGTTTAAAGCCCTCTTTGAGATCTGTTCTTTCCTCTCTCTGTCATGTGAACCCCTTCCCTGCTGACTGGCTCCTTTTAGGAGCTCATGTCCCCATGAGCCACAAAGGTCCCTTCACAATAGACATTGTGGGAAAGGCAGATTTCAATCCCCTCTGTGACCCCAGTTCTTTCAGCTTCTTCCCAGTATCAGAAGCAGTTGTGTCATTCAGAAAAGGCAGAGTGGATTCTCTGTGATGAGAAACACAGGATTGTGCTCAAAGGCTCGGGCAAGTTATGATGTTGTCTTCCTTTTTTTCGCCTCTGTCTTTCTTTCTCACTTGTTGTTTTGGCAGCTGGTAGGGCTGTGTGTGCCTTGCAGAACATTAGATCAAGCTGGTGGATGGTGACACCATTACTGTTTTATTTTTTTCCCCTTGGGAACAGTAGGTGCTTGCAGTGGTGTTCTCGGCACTGAGAACACATGATTTCTCTTCCCCTGGGAAAAGGTTTCTCTTTCCAGTGCCTTTTTTGTTTGTTTCCCAGCCAGATCAGAAGAAAGAACGGAGGAAATAGCTCATGAGGATAGCTCATGAGGAAAAAGGCACTTTTTTTTTTTTACTCTCTCTTTTATGTTGTCTTTTCAAACTATTGACTCTCCATCTGCTTTATTGGTGGGCAGAATCCTCTTGTCCCTGTTTCCGAACATCAGCCTTGGTCGCACAGACGTCCTTGGTCTTCAGCTTTCTGTCCTTCTGTACATGGCCTTGGAGATACCTAGATTAATGCTATACAGATTAAGAGCGAGCAGTGTTCTGAAAACTGGTGCATTGACTACGATAAAGTTGCCCCCAGGTAGCATCTGCACATTGTAAGATCTGGGGACAGATCTTTTTTCTCTCATTTGGAGTCTACTTCCACTGAGGATATATACCTCTTTTTGGTTGCTGATTTTAAAATAAATTCTTAGTTCAAGTCCGCTGGTTACTTGCCATTGGATGGTCAGGCTTGACTTCTTACCCTCATCCTGGCTCATAAGCAGACTCCCAGTCCATCTCTTTGCCCCAGAGTTTTCTTGGCCTCTTTACCGCTTTTTCCGCTTTTCCCAAGAGCCCTTAGTTAGTCTTCCCCGCTCAGCTTTGCTACTCAGGACACTAACTTCTTTTGTTTCTCGTAGGTGTTGGACAACCAGATAAAGAAAGACCTGGCCGATAAAGAGACTCTGGAGAATCTGATGCAGAGACACGAAGAGGAGGCCCATGAGAAGGGCAAAATTCTCAGCGAGCAGAAGGCGGTAGGTATAAGGAATCACAACGCCAGTTTTCTAAGGAGGGTTTGTGAAACGTGCCCGGAATCACACACCCAAGGAGCATCCATTCCAGCTGATGAATTATTCTTCCTGTTTAATCCTGTGGAGTTTGTTGCCTACAGCAAACTCTCTGCAACCCCTTCATCTCCTAAACGCAGTGGAGGTGGTGGCTCAGGGTGGCCAATTTTGCCTTTCATGCTCTTCTTTAAGGACTCATGCTGGTCTGCCATCAACGTTGCCCTTCACAACGCCACCTGACAAAACGGCCAGTGGCCCTACGTCTTCCTTATGGGCCTCCTTTCTCTGCCCTCGCTTCTTGCCTTTCTAACCCATGTACGGGTTTCAGAAACTTTCTGCTCATAAGGTTCATCTGCGGTGCTTGTTTATCCACCCATGGTCTCACACCCCACAGGGACTCTGTACCTCAGAATCTCTAAGGGAGGGTCCTAGGAAATGTATTTTTTAATCAGCACCTTCCCCCCGCTGCCTCCCCGAGTCTTATGATTTATTAGGTTGGGAAAACTTTGATGTAGAGAATCTAAGACGGTAGTGAAATGACAGCCCCATGGGTGATGAGAAACACGAGTTTGCAGATTCAAGTTAGAAGCTCCGGCAGGCCCAGGCTACATGCAGATGATGGGGGTTTAACGAGGCCTGCTTACTCACAGAATGTTGGGTTCCTAAGTTGGTCCTTCCGTGTGGTTAGGTAGTGTGGGGACGTGTAATCTCTGAGAAAACCACTGAGTGCCATTGTCTGGGCAGGAAGACCTGTGACCCTGAGGGTACAGAGCAGTTGGCTCCCCTGTTACCTCTGGTCAGATAGCCTGCATTTCAAGGGGAGCCTTTGACCCCGGCCCGACGGCCCACATTACTCTCACACTGGTAGAACTGTGTGTGAGGTGTCAGAGTCCCTGCTTGTGTTTCAGATGATCAATGCTATGGATTCCAAGATCAGATCCCTGGAACAGAGGATTGTGGAACTCTCAGAAGCCAACAAACTTGCGGCAAACAGCAGTCTTTTTACCCAGAGGAACATGTAAGTATTCACATTCCACCTGCGTGCATGATTACACATTGGTCTTTTCTCCTGGGGCAGAAACTTCGTTCTTCTGTCTGATGAAGCCGGAGCAGATTTAATTACTTCTGTAGTTTGTTCCAGACCCTGTTCTACCTGTGTAATTTTGCCGTCTCTTAAGTGGTCTCATTCTGCCATGCCCTTTCTTTGGAGCTGGGTTTTCTTAAATGCTTCAAATTGCCATCAGATGACAGAGGACTTTGCTCTCTCTAATGAAGGCTATTTATAGTTAGCTTTTGGAGAGCTTCGGGCCTTGTTCCCCAGACATGCCTCCTGTGATTAGCCGGACGTGATCTTGTGTGTGCCTCGTTGGGCCATCCGTCCTGCTGCTGTTGTTAGGCCCAGGGGCATGAGGTTTGCAAGGACTCCCCATGTTCTAGGAGCGCTTGGATCTTAATCTTCTCCCCCAAAGAATGACCATCCCTGGGACTCCCCCCTCCCCCCGCTTAGGTACCCCTCCTCAGAGATCTTCTAAAACATTCCCGTTTTCACTTAAAGCGGCTCAATAGGCTGCTTTTTGGTCTTTGAGTCATTCCAGTTTCTGATACTTGTGAGCAGTCTGGTGGGGAGGTGAGCAAGGTCTATGGAGAAGTGGAGGGAATAGCATTATTCCTTCCCCTCATTGCTCTTTCTTCCCCAGGGCCTGCCTCCGGGAGCGGGTGGGGCACTCCTGTTTATACTCTGCAGAGGCCCCTTTCTGCCCTTGGACAGACTAAAAACAAAAACAAAAACAAAAAAAGGGTCTACCTTAGGAGGGAAATGTTAGTGTCTCTTGCATTCCCCTTGACCTTCCTGAATCCCATAGACAAGGGCCTCTGAACAGTGAGGACTGAACGGGTCCCAGGTCCCCATGCTGGGATCAGGCACACGAGGCCGGGTCAGGACAGAGCCAACCTGGGAATGAGCATGCCCACTTACCAAGACACACCTCTCACTCTCTTTCTGTCCGGCCTGCTGAGGGAGTGTGCTCACCTCTGACGAGACTGTGATTTCGCTTGGCTCCCCCGACCACCCCCACCAGGAAGGCCCAGGAAGAGATGATTTCTGAGCTCAGGCAACAGAAGTTCTACCTGGAGACACAGGCGGGGAAGCTGGAGGCCCAGAACCGGAAGCTGGAGGAACAGCTGGAGAAAATCAGCCACCAAGACCACAGTGACAAGAATCGGCTGCTGGAGCTGGAGACAAGGTTGAGGGAGGTGAGCGTGAGGGCCCTCTCCCAGGAGGATTCGCTGGGGGTCGGGAGCCCCCAACACCTTCCAGGTGTCAAGCATCAGTTAGCATATACCCAAGAGGCACTGTGCATGGTGGTGAAGAATGCAGAGTGGGCCACCCGGGCCACCCTGATCTGGGCTAGGATTCCACTTCCATTTCTTGTGAGTTCTGTGACCTTGGGCAGCCCACTTTCTCTCTGTGCTTCCATTTCCTCATTGGCCAAATGGCCATGACGATGGCTCTCCCTCCCGGGGTCACGTGAGGATTATGTACATTGGTGCATCTGTCAAACTTGGGGGCAGAGTGATTCCTCTGCCATCCTGCTTTAGCGAGGGTCGCCTGCCTGAGTCCACGCTCGGGGTTTAGCGCCCGGGGCCATCGCGTGGCCTGCTCAAGGCAGTGGCTCGGGGTCTCCAGGTGCCGGTGGGAGAGGAAAAGACAAATCTCAATTTTAATGGAAGGTGGTTCTCTTCAGAGACATAGGGAAGCTGGGAAGGGCAGCCAAGTTTTGGGGAGGAAAATGCAGCACATTTAGTCGCAGGCCCGTTGAGGCTGATTGAGGTGGTGATGGCATGTGTACTCACTGTATATTCGTTAAATGCCTGCCACGTGCCGGGCAGCAGCCTTGCTCTGCAGTGGCGATAAGACCCAATCCCTGATGCTGGGGGCTGTCACCTAGCCGGCAGGGTTAGCTGGTTGGACAGAGGAGTTCAGGAGAGCGGTCGCTGGAAGCACGATATCCCGGCTGGGCGAGAAGACAGTGCCCGGAGCCTAGTGGGTAGGTGCTCAGGTGTTTGTGATGGAATTTTTCAACGAGCACACGGTCTCTCTTAAAGGAAAAGACTGTGAAGCACACAGAGGTCTGAGGACTAAACTTGGGGATACCTGTGGTTCTTGTATTGGAGTGTGAAAATGAGGCCAGTCCTCCAAAGGGACGGGGGTGGGGGGATTGTCTTGTGTTTTTCAGGGGCGGTCCAGGTGTAGACCCCTCTGTTAGGATCATCTGGTGTGGCTGTTGAAATGCAGATTCCTGGGCCTCTTCCTCTCAGCGTTTTTGAATGAAATAGGATATGGGTGGAAGAGGGGAGCAGGGCTCTTCGTTTTGAACAGTCTTCGGGCAATTCTCATACTCCCACAACAGTGGTTCTGTTTTGGGTTGTCCAAAAGCCTTAGGTGGTGGTTTCAGTTTTATTATCCAGGCTATATTTTTACTGTTTGGTAAGTTTAACCACATTTCCCTGTAGTGTCAGCCTTAAGAGTGTGAGTGTAAATAACTCCGATTTCTTTGAGCGTGGGAACACTGAGTAGCCGTTTTGCCTTCCCTTCCCACAAATGTCTCTCTTAGCTCGGCACCTGCCCTGCATCTGTCGCTCATCTGGACAATTAAAATGCCCCAGGGGGAGCAAGTTGCTTTTTTTCTTTCTTTCTTTCTTTCTTTCTTAAATCGGTACAGCTTGCCCCCCAAGGAAGGTGGCAGAAAGAATGCTGGCAAGAGGCTCAGGGCTGTCATACTCCCTGGGAGTTCTGGAGCTTGGCTTTAAATATAACAAAGCGGCTCCACTTTCAGTTTGCTGCCTGCAGCTATCGATTGGGGGCCGAGGCCCCTCAGCCTCTGGTTCGATCCACCTTCAAGGCTTCCCGCACCCTGCGCGTGCAGTGTGAGCTCTTCCCTAGCCTAGCGTGTGGAGTTGCGACGGTGCGGGGCCCTGGGGTCCTCCTGCCATTGCACAGCATTCTGCTCACCCAGCCCCGCACGGCTCAGTCACCCGCCTCCCCTGGTTCTGCCAAGTGGCCTCAGGGGAGCTTTTCGGCCGGCTGGCGGCGTCGCAGCCTGCTCTGACCCGGGCATTTTAATAAGACAAACAGCAAGTCGTGGACTCTGGAGCCGGACTTCCTGGGTTCGAAGCCAGCCCTGCCACTGTGGAGCTGGGTGACATTCACTCAGTCGCGTGCTCTCTCGGTGCCACGGCTGCTGTGTACGAAGAAGGCGACCGTAGCGCCTCCCTCTCTGGGCTCTTATGAAGGTGGGAGGAGCTGAAAGAGCGCCCGGCGCCTTGTGAGCGAGTATGTCCGTGCTGCCGTCGTGTCGCTGCCATTGTCGCTCGCGGGAGAATGCAGCCGTGGCTGCAGCTGTCACTGACTGGCTGAGGGCTCCCAGGTCTAGATTGCCAGCTGAGACCTTTCTCGGGAGCCTTTGACCCATTCCCAGTAGACGTTAGACACCTCCACCTGCATGTCTCCCTTGCTGCTCAAGTTCACCACGTCAGCATGGAATTTCTTTCTTTCTTTTTATTTTTTTTTAATTTTATTTATTTATTTATTTTTAAAGATTTTATTTATTTATTTGACAGAGAGAGACCCACAGCGAGAGAGGGAACACAAGCAGGGAGAGCGGGAGAGGGAGAAGCAGGCTTCCCGCGGAGCAGGGAGCCCGATGTGGGGCTCGATCCCAGGACCCCGGGATCATGACCTGAGCCGAAGGCAGACGCTTAAGGACTGAGCCACCCAGGCGCCCTCTTTTTTTTTTCTTTTAAAGATTTTATTTATTTATTTGACAGAGAGAGACACAGCAACAGAGGGAACACAAGCAGGGGGAGTGGGAGAGGGAGAAGCAGGCCCCCTGTGGAGCAGGGAGCGCGATGCAGGGCTCGATCCCAGGGCCCCGGGATCATGAACTGAGCCGAAGGCAGCACTTAACGACTGAGCCACCCAGGCGCCCCAGCATGGAATTTCTTATCTTTCTCCGTAGACTGGCTCTTCCTCTTGTGTTCCTGGCGTAGCAGAGGTCTCTCCTTGTGCAGTTCTCCTGGCCAGAAGCTCAGGCGTTACCTTCTGTCCTTTGTTTCTTGCCCCACCTCAAATTAACCACCAAAACCTGTTGGTTCTCTAGGCTTAATCTTTTATAAGTCTTTGTTCTCTTCACCCTTATAGCTTTTGGGACTTGGGTGTCACCTTCTCTGACCCTCCTAAGCTGGAGGTCCCCACAGCCTTGCGTGTTTAGGTCATCACGTTGTGTACCTGTTAGACAGTGAGCTTCCTGAGGACGGCGAGTACCTCTTATTTGCTTGACATCCTCAGTGACTGGCACAGAGTCTGGTCGCTAGGACAACCTTGTCAGTGTTGGTTAGGTCAATAGATAGGCCATGGGTCTCCCTCATCTCCATGCCTTTGGATGTCTTGGTTCCTCTGCTTGGAATTTTCTTTCCTATTTGCTGGTTTAGCTCCTATGAATTCTTCAATAAACATATGCAGAGTTGTTACCTCCTTTACCCTCCACTGTGTTCCCACTACATCCCCACATATTCTGACCATTACACTTGACCACATACATGGTTGGTTTTCACTTTTCCTCCAATTCAAGTGCAGAAACTGTCTTTCATCTTCATATTCCTTTTTATATGGAAGTTGCTGAGTACATTTTTCTTGAATGGATGAAACATTGAGTAGATAGAAGGATAGATGGGCAGACGGAAGGAAGAATGATTCCTTCATAATGTGACATTAATGTGGGTTACCTAATTAGAACAAACCAGAGGAGTATGGATGTATGTATGTATTTAAAGATTTATTTGAGAGAGAGAGAGAGTGCAAGGGGAGGGCCAGAAGAAGAGAATCTTCAAGCAGACTCCCCATTGAGCCTGACCTGGGGCTGGATCCCATGACCCATGAGATCATGACCTGAGCCTAAACTAAGAGTCGGATGCTTAACAGACTGAGCCACCCGGGCACCCCAGAGCAGGAACATTTAAAATAAAAAGAATTCAGTTCTGTGGTTCCATTTTTATCCCAATTGTAAAGAGGTCCATGTTACTAATATGATGTTATTTATAGCCATTTACTTTTAAATGCTTTTCTAATAAAAGTAATTGTCATAGTTTGCACTCGAGATTCTTGTGTGGTTTTTCTTTTGAAGCCTCCCCAGGCCTTTGAATGTTTGTAAGTAAGGGTTGCTTTGTACAGACATTCTCTTACATGGTCTTGCTCCTGGTCATTTCTGAGACTCCTGAAGTCAGACCCGTGTTATAGCGGCTCCGTTTTCTCCTTCACAGTTGAGCGCTGGGAATTTGACTCCATGACCACATTTAAGATGCAGGTTAAGCGTCAGGTTGCGTCTCGGCTAGTCAGGCTCAGCTCGTTAGACTAGTGAGTTGCATTCTCTCTAGTTGGGGTCAACTGAGCATTTGTGTGTGTGTCTCTCTGCCCGTCTCAGGTCAGCCTAGAGCATGAGGAGCAGAAACTGGAGCTAAAGCGCCAGCTCACAGAGCTGCAGCTCTCGCTGCAGGAGCGCGAGTCCCAGCTGACAGCCCTGCAGGCTGCCCGGGCAGCCCTGGAGAGCCAACTGCGCCAGGCCAAGACCGAACTGGAAGAGACCACGGCAGAGGCGGAAGAGGAGATCCAGGCGCTCACGGTAGGTCTATGGACAGGTACCTTCAGGCTGCTCCAGGCCTCAGCCGGGAGGAGTGTGGTGCTGAGGAGATTTGCTCACTCGGAGAAATCCCAACAGAGAAAAAACGATCCCTAGAGATATTTAGTGGCCAGAAAACTGGCTTATGTGAGAATTCTCCTTCCTGAGAATTAGTGTCAACATCTGACCTTTCCTTAGTATCTTGAAAAAGTCCCTCCTTTCTTTATGTATCTTCCCTCTTTTAAAAATAATCATCATTAAATTTAAAATTTTAGTTTGAGCTGAAGGCCATTTACTTGAATCTTCTACTTAGTTTTCAGTGATCGTTAAAAAAATAATAGTCTTATATTTTATAGTAGTTTTCCTACCACCTTTCTATTTTTGTATTGGTTAACCTTCATTTGCAGTTTTTTTTTTTTAAGCTGTAAATTCTCCTTCAAGTCTTATGTATGCATCTAGTATGTTCTGGATGGAAAAGATGGTTCTGAATGAGAGATTCTTTTCTCTCAGAGGGACCTGGCTTCTCTGCTTTTTCAGAGACAACAGTTTACCCAACTGAAGAGTGTTCTCAGGAAGTAGAACTTGGGGGGGGTAGGCGAGGGTGTCACTGGATTTAGACCTTGGTTCTTTCTGGAAGTCTAAAAATATGACTTTTTCAGTTTCCCATAGTTGATCCTTCTCACGGGGACTGACCCAGGCTAACAAAACGGACAAGAATCTTACATATAAAATGACAACTCATCTACTTACAGTGGAAAATACAACCACCAAGTTGACTGGGATACTCTGGGTGGCTCATCTTCCCATTTTTTTCTCCTTCAGAGAAGTCTCCTTAAAAACCTCATTTCTTTTGGAAGGCTGTTTGGTGGACCTGGACTTGGCCCAGAAAGCCGAATGAGTTTAATGGCTAGTATCAGCCAAGCAAATCCATTGCTAATAGTAACATAGTGTACTTGCCAAGTGGACAGGCACAGTCATGCATGCTGGTCAGGGTACCCTCTTCCATGGGCAGGGCACAATGCAGCTGATTGGGTTTCGTGTTTTCTAAAATAAGGTACTTAGGTGGGTACCTTACTCACTCTGATTCATCTTGGATGCGGTCCTCATTTCCATCAGTGAACATCTCTAAGCATGTAGAGTGGGGTTACTTCTACAGATGGCATGCACATTCGTTGCTTATGATTTAATCCTGTTCAAAAGTAATGTGTGTGTGTGTGTGTGTGTGTATATATATATATATATTTGACAAAGAGAGAGACAGCGAGAGAGGGAACACAAGCAGGGGGAGTGGGAGAGGGAGAAGCAGGCTTTGTGCTGAACAGAGAGCCCAATACAGGGCTCGATACCAGTACTCTGGGATCATGACCTGAGCTGAAGGCAGCTGCTTAACCGACTGAACCACCCAGGAGCCTATATATATATTTTTTTAAACAATCTTCTTAGAAGCTACCTTCTATTGTTGGTTTTGGGAAGCCCATTATCTGAACCAGATTGGGAACATGATCTGACAGTGCCAGGGTCCTTATGGACTAGTCTAGGACATGGAGGCTTCCAGGATTCTGGGGATACAGAGTAACTCCTTTTAGGAAGGTGCAAGTGCATTTCACATTTTCCAGGACTTATGCCAAGGTCAGATATTGATTGCAACCTTAATTTCTCAGTGAGAACACTCACTGTGTGCTATGCCATGTGCCCCTAATACTTGGTTTGGAAAAGAAACAGTCACGATATCTCTTTATTTATCCTCTGCCTTGTATCTTTCCAAACTGCTCTGAATCCATTTTGAAACAAAACAGTATAACAAGATAAAATAAGAAAGAAAAGGCCAAGAGAAAATAAGTCTATAGAAGAAAAATATGGAGGTAGGAATGAAATGAATATAAAAGAATGTGTGCCAAGAAGGCTTATGTGCTTTCTGGAATTGGGTGGATGGGGAGAGAGACAGCCAGATAGCATTTCTTAGCTGCTAAAGGAGGCATCTAAAATCCAGCCACTATTATATTGAATGCATTGTATATTAGTATCTTCCCCACCCCGTCCAAACCACCCACGTTCTGAAAGAAGGAGAAGGAGACATCAGTAATCTAATCCATACTTAATGAGTCCTTGCTATGTGCCTAGTGCTGTGTCTTTAGCCTTTTCTCCCCAGGGGATTGGCCTGTAATTCCTCAAATCCTTTTACTTTGGAGCGGAGAAGGACACATTTATCTCACTGCTCTGTTGGAGTTGGGAGGGAGGGTGGTGGCCATGCATCTTATCCTGCCCATTCAGGAGGAGGAGGATATAAAATAGAGCATGTGTCACTGCTGTTTATCTGTGGGGGAATTAGTCTTTAAATCCTGTCTTGCTGCTGGTTGGAATGTGCTGTGTCTTAATGGCTGCTGGAAGCCTTCACAGCGGCAAGTCACGACTTAATTTAGTCAGATGAGATCACTGCCTCAGAGCATCTTCTTATGAAAAAATAAAGAAACAAACCTCCCTAAGTCTAGAAACTAGGGCTCTACCACTCTTGCAGATGAAGATGCCTTGGAAAATAGGGCTTTTTCAAAGTGATGGCAGGAAAAAAAAAAACCTCAGAGCTGTTTGTAGCCTGTCATGCAAGAATCCAAATCCCATATCAACTTGCCTCGGTCCAGTTTTGAGGCCGTGGGTTTTCCTCTCCCCTCCCTTCGATTATGTCCCATAAACCTGGTTATGGACCGCATGCGGCTGTTGCCTGAATGGCTTTGTTGAATTTGTGCTGAAGACTGTATTTTCCGAGAGGAAGAGGAAGTGGCCACAGGTGCGGTACCCTGACTCTGTCTCATTGTTCAGGCCCCAGGGCAGGCCCCACGTAAGCGTCCGCCAAATTAAATCAGCTGGATCTAAAATGATCTCCGAGGAGGTTTGCGAGCTTCATAGCCGGCTGATTTATCAATAAAAGGGAATGAATAGTCAAATGGGCTATTACGGCTTAATTTTAAGAGGCCGCCGTCTCCTAGCCTGAGGAGGGAGCAGTTACTCTGGCCTCTGCCCCTGGAGCAGATTAGATGGGGCACAGCTCAGTCAGCGGTCTCCATTGAGGAAGCGTGGCCGGGTCCGCCGGGAAGCCACTGGTTGGTCTCCTTGATGTTTTCTTGCTACCCACTCTCGTCCGTTGTGTTTGTATGGAGATTCACTGGCCATCCGTGGAGGCCAACAGGAGAGTCGTATTGAAACAAAAAGCCAGGCTTTTAAGGTGCTTCCATGCTTCTTGGCAGAAGAAAGGATTTTCCACCCGGACTTGATATTTAAGACTCCATCCCTTTATCTAAGGAAGATATTTGAGTCTGCACACTGTAGAGCAGACAGATGTGTGATATGATACATCACTCTGAATGGGGGCCACAGGGTGGAGGCCTGGCATAGGCTTTGTGTACACCAGCATGACCCCACGACACTCTTCGTGTCCGGGTCCCCGTTGTCATGCTCTTTTACTGATTTGGTTAAATGACTAATGTTGAATAATCAAGAGTCTAAAGCTAGAGACACTAACGAAAGGCACCCTCCCAGCATGGTGTGGCCATGGGTTCCCAATGTCATCCTCTTTGATTTGTTAAAATCATGAGTCAGTGCATCCTCTCATTTGTTTTACATAAATATCAATCTGTGTATTTAATTAAGCAAGCCATTGGCATGATAAGCAAGATCTAAAATTAGGGCACCTGAGGTGACAGTCTTGCTTGGTGCCCGCATTCACAGGGAAAGGGATGGATGTGTGGAAGCCTGAGTGTTCTAGAACCCTGTCCATGGATCCCAGAAGATGGTCAGACGTCTAAACATTAGTTTCATTTCTCGAGTTCTGCAGGTACTTCTCTCTCATCAAGACTGCATTATAATCCTCTTTTCTTTCTTCCTCTTGTAACTCTCTTTAACATTAATGAAGATATAAGTATTCCCCCAAAAGAGTGCCTTTCCAGTCTTCAGGCTGCAGCCTGTGCATTCTCCCTGATTGCCACCCAACCCTTAGGTCAGCGGTTCTCAAAGTGGGACTGGTGGATCCCTAAGGGGGTTCCCCAAATTCAGATTATTTTCATAATAATGCTAAGATGTCATTTGGCATTTTTCATTGTGTTAACACTGGTGGTGCAAAAGCAGTGTTATTTTAAAAGAAACAAACAGTAAATATTTGGGGAAAAAATCTCCATTTTCATTTCTAAAGTGGTAAATATAGGTAAATGTAACCCACATAAACAAAAGCTCTTCAGGGTCCTTTGAAGGGTGTAAATATTTATTCTCTGTAGCACCTGATACCTAGTGAACACTCAAAAATTTCATTGAGAGAATCTAAACACTGTCTTACGCATTTTACTATCTTTATATACACTATTGTGTGACCTTTTTTTGGTGCACTTGTTTTACAAGTTATTTCAAAGAAACATAAAACATGTTTCTTGACATTTTCTTGCTCAGATCAGTTCGGTAATTGTTAAATGCTTATAGAATCTCCAGCAGTCGTAACAGGATCCGTTCTACATTTTGTGTTTATAACTCACAGTCAATAATAAATCAAAAGCCGTAATGATGGTACTCCATTACATTTTAACTTCAAAGAGGATTGCCATTTGATTTCAGTGGTAGTGCGATGTTCCTACTTTGGATAAATGGCATTCATGCCCCATTAAATCAGTAAATCTCTCAGATTATTGCTGGGCATACAGCAGATTGATTTTGGGGGAAAAGTAAGAGTCTGATAAGTTAGTCCATAAAAATATGGGCTAATGATGTGGGGAGTTGATTCTCAATGATAACTTTTTATTCATGAATCTGTGAGTCTATTTTGCAACTTTTTTTTTTAAGCCATTTTCCCAGGGCTCGTCATGCTTTTGTGTGGATTTATATTTCTGGTTGTCACCTTCCTTCTGCCTGAAGGATTTCCTTTTCCATTTCTTACAGTGCAGGTGGCAAATTCCTTCAACTTTTGTATACCTGAAAAAGTCTTTTATTTCACCTTCATTTCTGAAGGATATTTTTGCTGGGTATAGAATGTCAAAGGTTTTGGGTTTTTTGTTGCTGTTTTTCCGTTCAGTGCTTTAAAGATGTTGTTCTACTGTCTTCTAACTTGCTTCACCCCCTCCGCTCCCCTTTTCCCACCCACCCCCTGGTGAGGAATCTTTTTGTTTTTCTATATGTAACTTGTCTTTTTTCTCTGATTGGCTTTAAGCTTTTTCTCTTTGTTACTGGTTTTAAGCAGTTTGATAAAGATGTGATTTAGCTTAAATTTCTTTGTGTTTCTTGTGCTTGGGGTTCCTTGAACTTTTTGCATCTGTGGGTTTATGGTTTTCATCAACTTTGAAAAATCTGTGGCCATTATTTCTTCAAATGTTTTTTCTGTCTGACCCCTACCCTCCTCCAGGGACTCCACTTACATGCATATTAGGCAGTTCAAAGTTGTCTCACAGTGCATTGGTACTTTGTTCATTTTTTAAAGCCTTTCTTCGTGTGTTTCATTTTGGGTAGTTTCTAGTGCTTTGTCTTCAAGCTCACTAATCTTTTTTTCTGCAGCGTCTATCTGCTGTTATAAATTTAGAATATTTATGGCAAAATAGATGTATTAGAGAATACATCACAGCTCTAAAATTTTTGACGTAGTTGTCTTATAGATCTGACAGACTTTTTTTTTTTTTTTTTAAGAGCAGGGCCACATTTGCCTCTGCCTCAAATTAGATTCTTCTTTGGACTTTCATACCTAAGCTCTGGTACCACAATCTACCCTGTCTCTCAAGTCGAAGGTCTGTGAGGGCATCCTTTTCCTTTCTTTCCCCAATGTCTGTCAGCAAGTCTTATTACCTATGCTTCCAAGAGATCTCACTGCTGTCCACTTCTCTGTGTCTTTTGCCACTGTCCTACTCCAAGCCATCGTCATCTCCTCCTTGAATGACAGCAACAACCTCCTCAGTAGTTTCCCTGCTCATTTCTACCTTTGTCCTGTTTTGATCTGTTCTTGCTACAGCATCCACAAAATGACAATTGGATCATTTCACGCTTCCAATTAATGGTATTTTAAATGAAACCCAAACTGCATTCTGGGCCTTTAAGATTCTTGGTCCCTGCCTGCCTCTCTACCATCATCTTGGGTGACTTTTTCCTTCTCTTGCTGTGCTTTAGCCAAAAATTGTTTGACCACTACCCACCAAAAACACATTTACTTTACAATCTAATACAAGGGAGCATATATATATACTCCACTTCATTGATTCTAAGGTATCTAAAATCAGGGTGCATTTTATAGTCATAGATGGTATAGGACTCTCTAGTCATGTGGACATACAGACGTGTGGACATGTCATAGTTTAGTCAACAGCACCTTGTTTTCCTTAATGCCACATAAAATTACAATGTCTGACGATTGACAGCATCCTAAATTTGGTGAATTATGGTATTTGGAACAGAAGTGTCCTGTGACAGTGCTTCCCTATCCAAGGTACATCCCAGTGTTCTCTGTTCTATTCTGTTTATTCCATTTCATCGAATAAACCAAAACAAAACAAAAAAGAAGGAAAAACCCCACTTGTCACGCTTGCTCTTGGGTCATAGCTTGAAGTTTGAAAAGCTCTGCTGTAGCCATTCAGGCCTTTTTTTGTTCATCCAATGCACCAAACCCTTTCTTGCTTCAAGACTTTCGCCCTCTGCCTTTTCCTGTTCTTTGCATGGCTGGCTCCTCATCATAGTATGTGTGTCAGTTTAAGTGTCACCTCTTCAGAGAAGCCCTCCTTGATTACCCCATCTAAGTAAGTTCCTTTCTGTCCCCCTTATCCTTTTTTCCTGCACCTTGTTTGTTTCTTTTATAGCATTTGTCACTGTTTGTAATCATGGACTCGTTAACTTTCTACCCTCCCTCAGTGAATGACGGTAGCGCTGCGTATGCTGTACGGCACCTCAGTGTACGGCCTATCAGGTGCACTCAGAAAGTCCTTGAGTGTCCGCTGAACGAATGCTGCTGTTTTGGAGCAGCTCTGCCTTGGAGAAGGCCTTCTGCTTACTTGAAGGTCAATGTCTGGTTTCTGAATCTCAGCAGCTTTTGATTAACAACAAAAAAAATCCCTTGTTTGTCCTGGCTGTTGTCCTGTGTTTGTGTGTGTGTGTGTGTGTGTGTCTGCGTGCATGTGTATGTCTCTCAGGGCGTAGGCTAGGGAGGGGTCAACTGGAAGGAAGAGGGACAGGTTAAGAACGAGGAGTAAACAAAGGAACGAGAATAAAAACTTCCTCCTTGAATTTTCTTCTTCTTTTTTTCCAAAGCCCCTGGGTGTTAATGTGAATGTTAAGATATTTGTACAGGGTATGCATGTGTGGTCTAAGTAGTCAAGTGTTATTAACACAGCACTGTGTATTCCTGTAACTTTAATTTCTGATGTTGGACATGACTTGATTAATTAGTTCTTTGAAAACCAGATGTTTGGGCGGCTGCAACAGCATTCTTGGCTTTCTAGTTTAATTGCTCTTTTCTTTATTTGATCCATAGCATGTAGAATTGTATCCTACACTACGAAAAATTTATAATCGACTTCTTACCTTTTAGGCCCATAGAGATGAAATCCAGCGCAAATTTGATGCCCTTCGTAACAGCTGTACTGTGAGTATTAAATCTACAGATGATTAAAATAACATGAGACTAGACACCAAGAGGGAAGAGGGGGCATCTCTTATAATATCAACTGACTGATTTTTTGTTACAAACTTTCCACTTGAAGCACTTAATGGGGTCAAACTCATTTGGAGTTCCTGAGCCCCAGATAATGCCAGTTCTCGGTTTCCTGCCAGTTTAAAAAATTCTAAACCATTCTTTGTGTTTGGGGAAGGATAGTTGGAGTGGTGGAAACAGTTCTCACTGCATAGGCTGCAGTAGCTGCAGCAAAAGTCCCAAGGCAGCTCCCACTCCCGCCCCAGTGTAGAAGGTTCCGAGGCTAGTCCCAGGTAGATGCTGTGCGGACGCTGGACGTGGTTGCCACCCAAGGCTTCTCTAGCCCGCTGCTGCCGCAGAGAGGAAAGTCTGGCAAGTTCTGTGGACCTAGAAATTTTAACTTCCTACCAGGCAAAATAAAACTCTATGGCTCTTTGGGAGACGTCATTTATATGGGGGGAAGTAAATTCTGTGGGTGGAGAAGTGTGCACAGATTATGTAATGGCGTAGGGTCAGCAGAAGCTCGCTCTGTTTCCCATCGGAACAAAGGACTGAAATAGGCCCCTTTCAGAAGATAGGATGTTACCTTATTCATGGTTCCACCTCCTTTTTTGGTACTTTCATGGCTTTATTACCTTCTTAGTCCTCAGTGAACTTGTCTCCATTTGTGTTACTCGCATCTGTGGATTTCCAGAAACAACCCCACCGTTGTCCCCACATACATATTTTATTGTCTTGTAATGAACTCTTTCTTTCCTCTTTACCGATTATAAATGGGATGTTAAGTCTTAAGAGTGTATGCTTTTTCCCCCTTAATTTAGTTATAAAATCCACACCGTAAAATGCATTAAGTGCACTAATCTTATGGGTACAGTTGAATGAAATTTATACACCATATAGACAACTGTGTAGCCACCACATAGATCAAGATCCAGAACATTTTCAGTCTCCAGCGGGCTGCCTCACGTCCCCTTCTTATCAGCATCCTTTGCCTAAAGGATGACCACAGTTCTGAGCTCTGATACCAGAGATCAGTTTGGCCTGTTCTTGAACTTCAGAGAAATGGAATCACAGAGGATGTGCTCTCTTGGCCTTAGTTTTTTGTTTTTTGGTTTTTTTTTTACTTAAATTATCTGTGAGGTTCGTCAGTGTGGTTGAACCCATCAAGAATTTGTTCCTTTTCATTAATTATGGTGTAGCGTTGCCATTGGATGCGTAGACGTGGAGTTTATTTATCTACTCCCCTGCTGATGGAATTTGAATTGCTACCGTTAGGAACACAGCTGTCAGGAAGCACTGTTGCGTGAGTCCTTTGGTGGCCGTAAGCACCTGTTTCTGACTAGCATATACCAAAGAGTGGAGTAGCTAGTAGGTCATGAGATATGCCTCTGTTTGACTCTAGCACGTATCCAGCAGATGGATTTTTGGTCTGTATTTCCCGATGCCGATGGCTGCATCAGGGGTAGGCCCGCCTTACAAGTGTCTCCCCATCTCCTCCATTCTGCCTCTCTTCCTTGAGTTGCTGATGCGTTCTTTTCCTGTACTCTCGTGCCCCCACTTTTTTAGTTTCTTACTGTCTCGGTTTCTTTTTTTATGCACGAGTTATTTGCTTGTATTACATACATGCTCGTAAATGATCACTGAATAAAACATAGATCATTTTATGACCGTGATTTTTTTTTATATTACTATTTTTTCCTAAAATAAACTTGGATATGTTTTAAATGTGTACATCGTTAATCCTTCATCTGGAGTTTTCTCTTTTTTTAGTCTTTTGGCATAACAGTTTTTTTTTTTTTTTAATTGAAGTATAGTTGACACACAATATTACATTAGTTTTTGGTCTATAGCACAGTGATTCAACAACTCTATATATTATGCTAGGCTCACCACAAGTGTAGTTACCATCTGTCACCATACGATGCTATGATAATCCCATTGACTATATTCCCTATGCTGTACTTTTCATCCCTGTGACTTATTCGACCCAGAACTGGAAGTCTGTATTTCCCACTCCCTCTCATCTATTTTACCCATTCCTCCCCCTCCCCCTCCCCTCTGGCAACCATCAGTTCTCTGTATTTGTGGGTCTGCTTCTGCTTTTTGTTTGTTCGTTTGTTCATTTGTTTTGTTTTTTAGATTCCACATGTAAGTGAAATCATATGGTGCTTGTCTCTGTCTGATGTATTTCGCTTAGCCTAATACCCTCTAGGTCAATCCATGTTGTCACAGACGGCACAGTCTCATCCCTTTTACATGGCTGAGTAATATTCCACTGAATAAGTGTGTGTGTGTGTGTGTGTGTGTGTGTGT